TCCCCCGCTCCCTCTCTATGGCCCCCCCCCGCCCACACACACGTTCACCCCTACTTGTTTTACCTAGTTTGTGGGGTCCTATTGGCCAATATAACATCTTTAATAAGTTCTGCATACTTTCAGCTAGCAAAGTCATTCAGGTATCAAAATGTTCAGCTCTTCAAGGACAGTCATTTCAGTCATTTTGACAATCTTGCCCCATTCAAATGAATGGGAAAATTCTACTTCAGCATAATTTCAGCTAGCAAAAGCATTCAGGTGTCAAAATGTTCAGCTTTTTCAGGGCAATTTTTCAGCAGTCAGCATCCATACGCATTTTCTTCAGAAAATGCAATTTTCTAGTTTTTATTGATTCATGTTTTTATATTTTGGTGTCGATCTTTTTGTGCTTGTGGGTTGTGTCTTTGATTTATTGTTTTGTAATGTACAGCACTTTAGTCCACCTTGGTTGTTTTAGTGTTTTATCAATAAAGTTGGTATGGTATGGTATTAGCGTTTCTTATGTTAACAAGGGCAGTAAAGGCAAGAATGAGAGGCTCCTATGAAACCAGAGGAACACCAAAATGATCCCAGCCAAGTTTATGTCTTATCGGTGCTGCTGACATGCTCCTGATGCACAGTATGTGTGTAAAGGTTACCCTGACAGCTCTGCTCATGGCTTGATGAAGAACATGAACATTACATGTGACTGTCTGAATGAACCATTGACACTCAAAGACCAAACAGAGCGTTCTCTGCCCTATTAAGCGACCAACAAAAACAAGGACATGAAAACAAACTGACTATTTGAAAAGAGGAGTTACAGCTGACCCCCACTTTGGAATCTGTTGTGATGCACCTGCCACATTTTGAAGTTTGAATCTGAAATGAACAGGGTTTTTTTTCTGTTCCCAGTAGTAATTATGCCAAAATGATCTTTGTCAAATAGATAAAACAGTAAATTCCTATAATGGGTACTTTAGTTTGACGCAAACAGTCCCTTAGTGTAAACAAGCATCTTTCAATCAGCTGCACAAGCTCAGAAATGGTTAAAAATCAACATTTTAGTCAAATGACCTGGCACAGGCACACATGTAGTTTGTGTATTTTTGAAGGGGAATTCCACAGCTCTCTTATTTGTCTCCACTGCCTTGATTGCTCAGAAGCAACTGGCCTTCACTTTGTGGTCATTTCTTTCCTTTCCCTTTTCACATTCCTTCCCTTTCCTTTCCTTTCTTCTGTTTGATGGCTATATATGTTATTTCCGCTCTTACTCTCCTGCCATATTCTTTGCTTTTTTGGTGCCTATTGCCTCTTAGTGCTAATGTTTTGGAGGATTTCATTATCTCTGCTGTCGACTATCACATGTATTTCATGTATGCTGCTGCTGATCTCACAGAAACAGTCCTGCAGTTGGAGAGACAGGCAGGCTTGTAATTCTTCATCTGTTTGCAGAATGATAATCATTTTTACCCTGGCCTTGGGTTAGCCTTGCTTAGCTAAGCAACAGTCACCACTGAGCTCCAGACAACAGGGCAGATTGGCTGGCCCCATAGAGCCAGCCTAGCACATGTCTGGGCTCAGCATATACTGGATACAGTCAATCAATCAGTCACGTTACATAAAAGCATTTATTTCAGCCATGTACCCTGGTAGGCTAGTGGTTAAGGTGTAGCGCTCTCGCTGCTTTGGCCCGGGTTCGAATCAGGGTCAGGTGTAAAACATGTGCCAAATGTTAATATGTGAGTCATCAGTGGGACAATTTGCTGTGGTGATCCCTAAAAGGGAAAAGCCGAAAGTGACTTTCTACATATGGATGGACAGATGAAAGAGAAAGTTGTGGTGTTTAACATGTTTTTGAAGGACACTATGCAAATTTTTGATACATTTCAAAATTCAACTATAATTACTAGAATATAGACTGTGATGATACTCATAATATTAATTTAAGGACATATTACGATAAAGCATTAGAAACATTTAGTACCAGAGAAACACATTAAAAAGGCTGATTAGTGATGCTGATGTGTAAGAGAGTACACACAGTCACACACTTTTTAATTGAAATAATAAGGCTAAATATCAGTGTGATGGCATGAAGACTGTTCAGAGTGCTCTCCATGCTGTGACCTGAATACCACACCATTGAAGCCAGGCCAGCAGCTCATTAACATTCCAGTACAGCTCTAATCACCATGACAGTGGGTGTGCATGTGTCTCTGTATGTGTGTATGTGTGTGTGTGTGTGTGTGAGAGAGAGAGAGAGAGAGAGCGAGAGAGAGAGAGAATGCACATGTTACTTGGAGGATGCGGCGAAAGTGTGTGGTGAAGGGGCTGCCTCAGGTGATCAGAGCTGTGCAGTGTGATGGGCTCCATCGACTTGCAGCATTCTTCTCGGATCTCAAACTACTGAGCAACTTCTCCAACTTCTTATTTTACCACAAACTTTTATTGATCTTGTTGTCAGAATGAAGAATATGAAAACTGGCAAGAATTGAAAGGTGTGCTGGGAAATAAAAATATATAAACAGACTGTGTCCAAAAGGTTGCCTGGTGCCAGTTGGAAAAACAGTTTGGACACACCCCACACTTGGTTGTGTCACTGCAATAAGCCTTGTTAGTGTCAATTGAAAAAAAAAAAAAACACTTCTTTATGTGTCATAATTCCTCTTTATGTCTCTCTGCAGAAAGACTGTATAACTCCAATGGACGTGACTTGAGAAGGGCACTGTTCTCTCTAAAGCAAGTTTTTCAGGTAACACACACTCACACATATTTCACCTGCAGCTACTGTCAGTTTGTTGTTGCAGAGTACAGCTGGTTATTGTGGTCACTGTGTGCTGCCATGATGACAGGGATCTTCATCAATGTGGCAGTTCTCAATGTGGCAAACACATTTAAACAAAAGCACTCAAATATAATGACACTTGGGTCTGCAAACAAAGCAGTAATGTGAGAACTTTAAGATTGCTTGAACTACTGCAATATTCAATTGCTATTGTCATAATTATAGATTTCACTAATGGTCCCAAAAAGATCATGCGGGGGCTGATGGAAAATCCAGTGACAGTTTCTACACCAGGGAAATTTTCCTCTAGGTTTCATTGCTTATTTTCCACTAAAAGCTCTTGAATGAGCAAAAAGCCACACATACGTTTTCAGAACATGGAGTTTACACCCTTACCTGAAGGTGGCACTGGTTTAGGAGTCCTTTTAGATTAGTCAGACAGGTACACAGAAGTGTTTTCATGATTATTTTAGTCTTGTTTTTGATATAAGAGATGATACATCCAAAGCAGCAAATTGCGAAACACTCAGTTGGTGGCATGTGGAGTGTATTTTTTCAGCTGGCCACTGGTTGTGTGCTGTCATCTTTAATCCTTATCCTGCATATTATTGCCACCATGTGGCAACAAAAAGTGAGAGAAGTGGCAACTGTTGAAAAAAAATTCCTAGTTTTAAGAGGACTTTTGTGTTGTTCTGTATGTATGCAGCCAGTGTGTACTGTATGAACTTGTGCTGTGCTTTGTCACTGCTCTTTAATTCAGGATGACAAAGATCTGGTTCATGAGTTTGTGATGGCTGAAGGTCTGACGTGTCTCATCAAAGTGGGAGCAGAAGCCGATCAGAACTACCAGAACTACATATTAAGGGGTATATATCTCTTTCTTTTTCTTTCTTTCAGCATGAAGCAGGCTTTGTCATGGCCATATTCACATAGAGTGTTGCCAAATTATATGTGAAAACTGAATGAATATCCAGGAATATATAATACTATATAATTAAAGGAAGCATAAAAGAGAAAAGGAAAATAGTATGTGAATTTAACAAAGGGCTCTTAAAACCAAACTGCAACAGCAAATTTAACAATTTTTTTATCATTTGTTAATTTTTTTTTTTAATGCAATAGAAAGTACTAACTGCCCCGCAAAAACAGAACTGTCTTTAATTTCTCTGCAATTTTTACAGAAGATGTTACTGAAAGAAAGACAGTAAAAGTAAAGTACATTTTAAACCAAAGCTGAAACAAAGTTCAAGCACAGATGAAGTAAACCCATTTTTAAAAGCCGCTGGAGCCCCTGAGTATTTGAATGACAGGTCTGGGAACGAAGACAACTGATTACATCATTGTTTAATCATCATTTTAGGTCAAATAAAGTTCCCCACTATCTGTTTCTCCTGTTTGACAGATGTTCCTTTGTGAATTTAAGTCTGATCTTTGGCAAATAAGTCTTTGTTTTTAGCACTGATTGATTTAGCAGGATCACTTTGTGGCGTGTCTCTGTCATCTTCGATGTAAAGGTTTTTGTAGATTCCTCTTCTTGTACAGCTCAGTCTTCTGCATTGTAGTGATTCTGCAGGTACAGAATGCGCCCAAACAGGTGTCTCCATCTGGATATTTACCTCTTGAGCTTTAAGACTGTGCAAACCTTCTGGGCATTCATTACCTCTCCTACTCTCAGCTGTGTGTCATGATTCTGCCCCTCTGCTTCATCATGCTCTTATTTTGAGACCACTTCCTGTTACAGTCTCACCTCAGCTATGGACTCTTTATCATAATCAGTGACAATTGTTTGCACCTGTTTTCACCCCTTTATAACCAGCTTCCTCCCACCAGGAAGCTTCCAGATTGCTCTAACCCATGTTCAGATTCTCCAGCATTTTTCCTAGTGTCTGTTCCAGCTCTGACCCCGATTGCTTTGTAACCACTGAGTATTGCCTAACCCTTCTGATTCTGTTTGGATTCTGTGCACCGACTTATGTACTGCCCCTACTGACTGTTCTTCTCGTGGATACCTTGGATGTGTGAGTTTGCTGGCTCTGACCCTGGACTGGATTATCGATCTGAGAGAGTTACATGTTGAATCAGACTCCTGCATTGTGTATCGTTTTTGTCTGACCAGTGCTCTTATTAAAGAGGCAGTGTTCTGTTTTTTACTCATCTGGCTTTATAATTGAGTTCACCCTCGACATCATCGGCAGCTTTACTCGCCAATCCTGACATTACAATCTGGCCACCATGAACTCAGCCAGCAAGGAAGACAGAGACCGACAATTACAGGTCCTGATGTGCACACCCTGATCTTCGCCCTGCTCTTGATGTTTCTACCGGATTTCTCTGCTGCTTATGCTGGCACGCTCCAAGTGTCCTCCACGAGTGATTCTATGTTTCCCGGTTAGTTTTTTATTTGTTTCTTGCTCTGAGTTATTAGTGTTTTTTGCATTCCCGTCGCCACTTCAGTGTGCTGTGCCCTGCTCCGTTGTTCTCCGCCTTAGGTCAGCTACTTACCTGCTACGCGTCTGGTTACTACAGGGCGTGTATGTTACTCTGCTTACCTTATGGCTGCCATTTCACCTGCCTGCCCTCTGGTTCCTGTGTCTTCCCTGTCATCTAACCCTGCAACCACATGACCCGTGGAATATGAGTAGATCCCATGCCACCTGCCCACAGGACCTCGACCCATCCATCAGGCTCGGGGATACTCCCTTACCCCGGATCCTGAGCTTGACCTGGGTCTCCCTGCTTCTGCCCCCACCCTCACCCTTCTGGGGATCCCGGTTAGTTCTCTGCCCTGGTGGGCTCGGGAAGATGTGCCACAGGAGAAGGGGTCAACACCAGCCTGCCCCTTAGTTTCAGCCCATGGAGACCTGCCTGAGCCCAGCAGAAGCCCAGGACATTTATCGGCAGCTAAAGGCCCAGATGGCGTCTCTGCTCTCCCTTCCTCCACTGAAGCCCTTTTCTTGGCCAGTTCCCAAGCTGCACTCTGTGCCCGGTCCAGTTTCCCAGTGGGTCAGCCGGACCGCCTACACTGCCTTTGTCCTGGTCTGGTCATGATGACGTCCCCACTGACTCCAGAGGACCCAGGTGTGCTGACGACAGCATCCCCGCCAGGGTCCAAGAGAGTCAGCGTGCTGACAGTGAGCTGCCAGCTGGGGTCACTGTCCCTGTTCCCAAGCGGGTCGGCCAGTGCGCCAACACCGCTTTCGAGCCTGTTCCTGTTCCTGTTCCCGAGCGGGTCAGCCGGCGCGCCGACGCCGCCTCCATGCCTGTTCCTGTTCCCAAGCGAGTCAGCCCCTGCACCGACGCCGCCTCCAGGCCTGTTCCTGTTTCCTGGTTGGTCGACAGCTTCGACGCCACCTCTGTCCTTCCTCCTGAGGGGTTCGACGACATCACCGCTGGTCCTGTTCCTGTTCCCTGGTGGGTCGGGACAGTTTTGAGGGGTTTGCTGATGACGCCACCTCCTTCTCCCAGTGCTCAAGTGGTTCGACGGCAATGCCGCCCCACTTCTCCCAGTTCCCAAGGGGTTCTCCAACCATGACGGTGCCCCCCTTCTCCTAGTTCTCAAGGGGGCCAACATCGTTTCCACCCTTGCCTCCACTCCGGTCCTCCGGCAGCAGCAGCCGCCGCCTTCACCTAGTCCAGATCTCCAGTTTCTTGTCCGGCATTGAGACTGTCCTCCCGAACGACCTCTCAGCTCTCCAGCCTAGCGCCTAGGTCATCCTCCCGAGCAGCTTCTCGGATCTCCTGCCTGGTCTCGTGGCTGCCCTTCCAAGCGACCTCTCTGAACTCCTGTCTGCCACCCTGTTCTGCAGGGTCACCTCGTGAATGGTGGTGCACTGTTTGGTGTTTGTGGGCATCCTGTGTACTTGAATTTTTTTTTTCGCATGTTTGATTTTGGTTTTTGTTCTTGGACTCTGGTGTTTGGGGGGGACCACTGGCTTTGTCATTTGGGTTTGTTTTTTTTTTTGTTTCCTGAGTCCTCTTTCTCTCCCTCTCTCACCTCCTGGTGAGGGACACCAACCCTAACATAGCAATACCACAGTGTAAAAATGCTCTGTTGCAAGTAAAAGTCCTATATTCAAAATATTACTTTTGTAAAAGTACAAAAGTATTAGCTTAAAATATACTTAAAGTGCCACAAATAAAAGAACTAATGCTGCAGAGTTTACCTTAATGCATATCATATTATTGTATTATAGCTATTGATGTATTATTGTGTATATCACATTTAATGCTGCTGCTGGTAATGGTGGGGCTAATGTTATACCTTATAAGTTTATACTTTGAAATACTTTACATGCTACTACATACTACACCAAGGATCAATAAAGTCATATGATTATACTATGATTTTGTTATATTAATCTCAGAAAAGTAACTAATACCTAAAATGTAGTGAGAACAACGTACATTATGTTTCTCTGAAATGTAGTAAAGTTGAAGTAGCAGAAAATGAAAATACTCACTGTCAGCAAAGCTGTAAATACAGGTCCCAGGGAGAACCAAAAAAAACACAAGAAACACATAACATAACAGCAAAACTGGCATAAGAAATTATTTTTTTTCAGGAGGAGTTGCAGGAGACTATGGAACACATCATCTCTTTACAGTTAGAAGTCCCACAAGAGGAGCAAGAATGGTTGCTAGAAATATTTAAATTGCCATTAAATGATGAAGAAGAATGCAAAGAGAAGACAGATGAGCCAAAAGAGAATGAAAATGAGCTGTCTGAGCCAGAAGGAACTGCACCGGGAACAGAGAGGAGGAAGCTGTGGATTGGGCTCAGAGCTTATACTCTCCCATTACACCCAGCCCTTGGGATCAAGCAGATCATGACCGGGAGAAGGTTTGGTGGCAGAGTACTCTCCCATTACACCCGGCCCTTGGGATTGTTGCAGTCAGTTCTTTTTACCATGCTAACTCTGAGAGACGAGGCAGTCCAAGTAGCTTCAAAACATGGGATCCTCTGCTGGTGCGCAGTGTGTTCTATGGATCTAGTTGCTTAACTTGTTATCAGTGAGCCACAGTTTAACACAGTGTGTGGTGCTTTCTGCTACCTTGAAAGGTCCTTGCCACCGGGGTTCGAACCAGTGAAGTTTGTGTGCCTTGCGGTAGACCCAGCTGTCCATGGCAACTGAGGTTGGCTCCTCAGCTTGCTCTCTGCGCAGGATTTCGACCACCTGTTCAGAGAGACTCATCACGGTGCTGTTCAGTCGCCTGACATATTCACTTATGTCAGCATGCTAGAAAAGAAGAGGTGTTGAATCTCTAGGCATAACAGTGAGAGGACAGGGCATTTTTCTCCCTGTCAGGATTTCATGTGGGCTCACATTTAGTGATTTAGTTGGAGTGGACCTGAGGCTGAACAATACAATTGGTAGAGCTTCAACCCAGTTAAGTTTCTTGTCTGCGCAGACTTTTGCAAGGCCTTCTTTAATGGTTCTGTTTGCTCTTTCAACCAGCCCTTGTGAGGCTGCATGATAAACAGCTCCAAACTTATGCTTGATCCCAAACAGTAGCTCAACCATGCATAAATCTTCATTCGAGAAGTGTGTACCATTATCAGATCTGATTATTTCTGGTATACCAAACCGAGGGATTAATTTCCTTGTGAGCCATTTAATTACCTCTTTACCAGTTTCTGATTTTGTGGGAGAGGCCTCAACCCATTTAGAAAACGGATCCACACATACCAGTAAAAACCTTTTTCCTTCAACTTTTTTATCTACACCCATATCAGTGAAATCAATGGCCACTTCCTTCCACGGGTGTCTGGAACTGGAAAACCTCCTAGGCCCACCTTCAGTGC